TCCCAACTTAAATTTCAATGAAGATCTAGTACAGATAAATGACGTCATAAAAAAAATACTATGAATATTTGAGATGAAAAATAATCACTTGCATATGTAATGAAAATTAATATAATAGAACAGATTAGTGTTCACTTTTTTGTTGATTTCTCTAATTATGAATCATAATCTGGATGATTTTGAACAGTATTTTCTCGTAATTATTTCAAAAATAATTTATTTGAAAATTTTACATTGAAGAAAAAAAGATTATTTCCACATATTGGAAATTATCAATAAACACTAAAAATAAAAAGATCTGTTAGGAATAGCAGTTTACTTTTCAAAACAGGCAATCTGTTAAATCTTTTTCAAAAACCAAACAAAATATACTATACAGTACTGACCAAAAGTATCCCCGTACTTGGATCTCAGCCACTACAAGAGCTGTTGCTCTGAAAACTTGACTGTATATAGATCTCGATTAATGTAGGTCAGCGGCGAAACTCGCACCTCCATAGCCTGAGTCACCAAAGAGTTATGATGCATGGGATTTATTTCCATTGTGGAATCAATTTTCCCCTCATTCTGACGACCTTTTATTATTTTATTTAACAGTGTCAAAAAAAAAACGTTATACAAAAGAATTAAAATGGATTTATCTATCTAGTACAAATCTGTCAAGGATCTTCTGATAGTTTTCATGATGATGATGATGAATCAGAGTAAGCGTGGGAGTAAGAATATGAGTAAAAATTGGAATGTAATTGTGAAAAGGATACGAATCCTTATTCTTACTTCCCATCTCCTTCAGGTCTGTCAGAATGAGGGAAAAATTGACTTCAAAAGTCTATGTCTTGTTTTCCATGATACCTAGTGAATTCTCTAACTTTCTCTTGGTAGAACTGTGTCCCCTTACATTCTAGTTATGTGCTCAAAAGATGAGATCAATTGCTTAAGTATTCGAGTAGCTAGACCTATGACAATATCTGAAATTTGAGCATAGTGCCATTTCTCTTCAGTACATGATATAAATCTGAAAATTTCAGAGAAGAATAAAAGTCTGTGGGACTACCTTTCCTGTAAGTTTGAAGTCCATCTATCCGACCCACACTGAATTATGAGTCACACAATGAGATTTAACGGTTTCTAAGCATACTCATCCTTATAGTAAAATGAATCTAGCTTCACAATAACTCAATGAATTTTGATGAAATTTTTACCACAAATAGCCAATATACAGGGCTACAAAATGACACGTCTCGTAGTCCATTAGGCTTTGTTGTTCTGGAGCTATGAAGTCCACAATGGAAATAAGCCCCATGCATCATAACTCTTTAGTGACTCAGGCTATGGAGGTGTGAGTTTCGCCGCTGACCTACATTAATCGAGATCTATATCCAGTGAAGTTTTCAGAGCAACAGCTCTTGTAGTGACTGAGATCCAAATACGGGGATACTTTTGGCCAGTACTGTATTTGATTTATGACAATTTTTCATAAGATTGATCTATTCAATTTTTGTATTCTTTCAATTTTCAGTTTTGTTCAATTTATAATTTGAAATATCTTAAAAAGAAAATTTCAGTAACTAATAAACTTTTGAATTCATTTGTATACAACAAATGTAATTATACAATTTCTTACAAGATGTTGTCATATTATTGGTTAAGACAAAAGATATTGTCATAATTTGTCTTGATAGAGAACTTATAGTTATCGAATTTGTAGTACTTATCAAAGAAGGCATAAATGTCTTTGTTGATATATGTGAAAATTTTCGTGACTATAACTATGACACTTAGTATTAATATTAACACAAAGACTATCGAAGTCATCAAAAATATTAGAATAATTTTACGTTGAGACATGTGATTACTTCGTATATAGGTTCAAAAGGTAAAGATTTGTTTTTAGATATAGATAGTACGTCGAACACGATTCAAAATTAAGTGTTAATATCCGTTGAATAAATTAGTACTAAAGTGACATGAAGATTATTTTATTAACTATGACAAATGTGTGCAATCAAGCGAGAAAAATATTCTCTGTCACTTGCTTTTTTCGTTTCTATAAGTCAGAATAGTTCGGATTGGTTTTTTCTTTTTGATCACCCTCACTAATTAGGTTTGACAGCTTCATAACCAGAGAAAAATGCTAGTTTTGCCACAATTTACAATTTGTATTTGTTAAGAGAGTGTAATCTTCTCTTCTCCGATACACATACATCATCTAGTAGATTATTATATTGCTCAAGATAAACATTTAAAAGAAACCAATAAGTGTCAATGTGGATATGTGAGAATGACTTTGGATTGAAGCCCTGTAGAGTCAAACTTTTTGACTCTAAAAGTTAATCCCCTACTTCGAAAATTTTTTCTGACTAGCATATTTATTTCTTTTAGTGCCATGTGTTAATGAGAATGTCTCTGTGATGCTTTGTTTTTTCTTGAATCTTATTTATGAATCTATAGTATTTTTGTTCATTACTTAACATATGAAGAATAAATTTGTTACTATGTAAAAGAAAAGATACATGACTGGTTCATTGCTATAACTCTGATAATGACTCTGAAACAAATTTCTTCAAGACCACTCCTACTCTGAAGAATTTATATTTCTTCTATTCCTTTCATAAATATAGTAATTGATAATGTGATATAAAATGAAAGATGACGTTAGATTCTGTACCTTTGAAAGAAAAATAGTTTTCGAGGATTGGTGAAATTATTCTTCCAATGAGGAAGATATGATATAATATTATTGCATTGAATGTATGAATTGATGATCAACTAATAGATTATTTGGTTTGCTATTCTGTTCCTGATTGTCGTTCAGATGTTTGTGTGTTCGAATTATGCGATTCGTTTATCTCCACTAGTTTCTAAATATTTTACCAGATGTTCTCTATCAAATTTAGTATCAAAACCATGGCTATCATCACTTGGTACTAGCTTTAATTATACAATTCAAACTCATTTATCTAATTCTTCGAATGTAACTACCTTGAAATTCCCTACAGGTATATCGTTTTTACATTTCTCTATTATCTCTCAATCATTGTTTTTATGTTCTAGTTTTCTCAAATTTACATATACGTTCCTTTCATACATCGAGTAAACGAAATAAAAAAGATTATTATGAAGTTTTAGGTGTATCTAAAACAGCTACACTAAAAGAAATCAAAAAAGCTTATTATACAGTTCGTAATATTTCTATTAGTTAATGACGAAATTATCAATTGATTTTTATTTAGCTAGCAAAACAGTATCATCCAGATACGACAGAAAAGAAAGATGCTACAACATCAAAACAATTTCAAGAAGTTTCAGAAGCTTATGAAGTCTTAAGCGATGAAACGAAACGAAAGAATTATGATACATATGGTATGGGTGGTGATCCATTTAGTTCTGGTCAAGAATCCTCTCCCGGTAGTAGTTCACGTGGTCGTCCAACTGGTGCAAGTCAAGGTGGTTTTCGTGGTTATGAATATTATCAAGCTCAAGTTGATCCTGAAGAGTTATTTCGAAAAATCTTTGGTGAGGCATTTCGTCGAGGTGGTTTTGCTAATCATGAATGGATGGATGAACCTGATGAAAATCAATTTGGTAGACAAGGTATAACTCAAGTAAGAATCTTATTTTTTTTTCAATTAATTCATTATTTTTCACACACATAAAAACTTGTAATAGTTAGCCCTTGATTTAACATTTCAAGAAGCAGTTCGTGGTTGTAATAAAGATGTTAATGTACGTATTGTTGATGTATGTCCAACATGTAAAGGTACTCGTTGTGCAGTTGGTACACAACCACAACCATGTCGAACATGTAATGGTACAGGAATGGAAACAATTGAAACAGGTCCATTTTTTTTACGTGCTACTTGTCGAACATGTCATGGTCGACGTGAAATAATTGCAAAACCATGTTATGAATGTTCAGGAAAAGGAAAAACTATACAAAAAAAATATACAACAATACCAATTCCAGCTGGTAGATTTTTATTTGAAATGAAATTCTTCAAAAATATTCTTTTTCTTAAGGTGTCGAAGATGGACAAATCATTAGAGTTAATCTTGGTGTATCTGAAGTATTTATTACATTACGTGTTAAACCGAGTGAAAAATTTCGAAGAGATGGAGAAGATATTCACAGTGATATTGATATATCTATTACTCAAGCAACACTTGGTGGAACAGTAAAAGTACCAGGAATTTATGAAGATCATGTATTACAAGTAAGAATCGTTTTATCGTTTTTCATAGAAAATATAATCAATATATATTAGGTTCCACCTGGTACACAATCTCATCAACGTTTTCGTCTTAGTGGTAAAGGTATTAAACGTCTTCAGAGGTCAGGAACAGGTGATCATTATGTACATGTAAAAATAAAAATTCCTACGTATGTTATTTTTTTTTTTTTGTATTATTATATAAAAGAAATTTTTTTTATATTATAGACGATTAACAGATAAACAAAAAGAATTGATGTTATCATTTGCTGAACTCGAAAAAAATACGCAAGGAACAGTTAATGGTTCATCAAAAACTAAATCAGGTAAATCAATATGAAATTCAAATATATATATATCAATTTCAATTTATTTCTAGAAGAAAAGTCAAAAGATCAAGAAGGATTTTTTCAAAAACTCAAACGAACGATTTTCAATTGATTATAACAAATCAAGTAATCTCTTATTTTTCTTTACGTATTTTTCATATTAATTATCTTTTATCTTTTTTAGATAATCAAATAGTTAATGAAGATGATAATCATCTATTAAAATCAATACGACAAGTATTAACTAATTTACCTTCTGGTAGTTCAAAAACAAGCAAAGTAGTGAATACAACTGGAATCGTACGACCTTCACTAACTCAAAAACAAAAGAGCAATTCATTAGTTTTATATTAAAATTGTTTTTTTTGTTAACTTTATAATATGTTTTTTTTTAAATGTTATAATAAAAAGAAATTTGAAACTTGATTTGATCTTTTTGTCGTTTTTTAGATATGAGGAAATGAATACAAGGTGAGAAAAAAAATTTAGTTCAGTAAAAATTTCACAAGAAATATTGATTTATTTAGTTCAAAATTACCATCAAGTTTGCATCCACTCATTGCTGGTGGAGCAAGTGCATTTATAACAACAACATTATATCAACCATTAGATTTTCTTAAAACTCAAATACAAGAACCTAAAGAGGGGTAAAGAAATATATTTTCAATTTTGTATTTATAAAAGTTTGATTTATTTGTTTTTTCTTGTGTATTCAGAATTTCCAAACGTTCGATACGATCAATAACGAAATATACTATACAACAATATTCACCACTTCGTTTATGGCGTGGTTTAACACCGGTTGGATGTTGTAGGATGAAAATTACGACTGAATATCTTACATTTTTTTCTTCATCATAGTCTTTATTTCGTGCTGTACCTGGTAGTGCTCTTTATTTTCATTTACTCAATGTACTCAAAGAAAAAATACCGTAAGCAAAACAAAGATTTATTATTATTATTAATTATTCTTTATTTTCTGTTTGTTAGAAAATCCCAACAAACAGTTTTCGTTAATGGAGTTTGTGGTGCTGTAGCTCGAGGTGTCGCTGATTTAGCTGTTTTTCCATTTACATTAATCAAAGCTAGACTTGAAGTAGACATAGACTTTATATTTCAATGAAATAAGAAAGCAATCAATTTTTTAGAGTTCTCGATATACAACAATGAATATGATTGCTATCATTAAACAGGTATACTCAATTCATGGTTTACAAGGTTAGTTTCATTTAAGTTTTATTACATATCGAAGAAATCAAAAATGTGTGAGAGAACGAGAGACGAATATCATCTTGAAGATACTATAGCTTCCGGAACAATTTTAGATTTTCTATCAAAGAGAACTAATAGAATTATGATAATAACAACTTATATAAATTTGACAGAACATTAGCGACTGTAATTATACAGCCTATCGAGTTCGAGTTTGAAAGTTTTGGACTCGACGGGCTCTAGTGATAGCTCTAATTCATATTCGAATATTTGTTTTGAATAGATTATCTTTTTTTGTTTTTAGGTTTTTATACTGGTCTTCTACCTACTTTAGCACGAGATCTTCCATTTTCTGGTATTTATTATATGTCCTATCGTAAATTGAAAGATATATTTTCACATGATACGAGTAAGATCGTTCTCTTTCTAATTTTCGAATTATTTTTTTATTGAAATTTAAATTAGATATTCCATTAAATAAAAATTGGATAACATCTCAAGCTTTTATAAGTGTCGCAGCTGGTTTAGTTGCATCGTTTGTTACTCAACCAGCTGATGTCATTAAAACATATCGACAAGTAGCTCCAACTGATTATAAAAATGTTTCTATAACAGTTAAATTTATTATTAAAGTAAACATAATTTTATTATTTATTTTGTTTGTTTTTATAAATAATTTATTTATTTAAATAGACATATGGTTTAATTGGTTTTGGAAGTGGTTTTCTTCTTCGAGCATTTCGTCGTACACTTGTAGCTGCAACAGCTTGGACTTTATATGAATCATTTTTAAAATAATGATCATATTCTTGTTTGTTTGTTTGTTTGTTTTTTCCTTTTTTTTGCTTCTTTTTAATTAAACAATTCCAAGCCATTCGTTAAATATATCTTTTTGTAGACTTGTCATTGATAAATTTTGTTTTAAACGAAATACAGCTAACCATATTTGTTTTGATGTTAATCGATCACGATAGATTTTACTTAAAATTAATTCAAGTAATTTTGTTGATGATTCACATATTATTGTATAACGTATTTCACCATTTGTTAAACCACGTTTTCGTTTCATATCAACATATGTTGTAAATGCTTGAATATTTATTTTCGACATTTGTTCTTCATTATCAAGTATTTTATATATCCATGAAAGATATTGTTTTGGTGGACATAATTCAAGTGATTCAAATAAATAAGATTTCATATTCGTTGAAAGAAATATATAATCACCAGCATAGAGATGATCAAGAATTATATTAAATAAACATGAAGAATCAGATATTAAATCGATGTATTTAAAAAAGAAACGTTCGATTATTTGACGTTGTTCATTTTCAGTATATTGATCAATATTGTATGTATCGAATAAAAGTGTTTCATCTCGAAAATCAATGCAAATACAAGCATTATTGTTATTGTTTTTTTTGTATGCATCAATTAATTCTTTTAAATAGAACTCCATGGATAAGAATGAAAAGAAGAAAAAAACAACAGTATTGTATGCACGACTTTTTTTTTCGTTCCTTTTTTTGTTCTTTTTTGAGTCAGTAAGAATAAAAAAAGCTTTGTCCTGTACACGTTGCTATAGAGAGAGAAAAAAAATGTTAAATAAAATAAAGTACTAATTAGTTGATTAGAAATTAACGATATAAACTACATAACGGAGAAGTTCATAGAAAATTAAATACTTTTATGCTTTTCAAGCTACAATGACTTTCACTGTTTTGTTTTTCGTCTTTTAGTCCTTTTGGGTATGCGCGTGCGTAGATGAGCGTGTTCTGTCTATCTATACCCTCTAGTAAAATGAGATAAATTTAATTTCTCGTGGACTTACGAAAATGGTAGATTATTGATCAGATAAGAATGACTCGAGAATATTTTAAATGTAAACCAATTTTATATTGTTATCAAATAGTTTGTTTTAATTGTTGAATATCGTTGGAATATAAAAAGTTTTTCATGAAATTAAAAGAAGTTTAAAATGATTCAGACCAATGATTTTTGAGGATTCCTATATCAACCAAAAAAAAAATTATTCTTTTATTTTCTCATAAAAATATATTGTCTCTTTATTCAATAACCATATGATACTAACAGAAATGTATAACAACAGATACTGACATAAGAATGTCATAGGCTTAAATTCTTTTCAAATTTACTTAGTATCATAGTAATCAATACATCAGCAGGATACGAAGTTCAATTGCATCAATAATTAGCAATATTCTCTTTCTATATATCTGTATCATTACATATACGCCCTTATTATTTGCTATATCGTATTTGGTTTCAATTCATTTGCAACAATATTCATAGTAATATTGTGTACTTTCTTAATCTCATCCCCTACTACTTATTTCTTACTTGATTAACTAGTATTTTCTCTTGTGACCTGACATCTGCCTTATGATTACTCTTATTATACTACAAATTTCTATCTACTGCATATTATTGACATTGGTTCCTGTTAGTTCCTACTATCACAGATTGTGACCTCACGATAACGTTATCCTTGATACTTGATCGTATTGCTCCTTGATTCTATTTCAAATTTCGTATACTTATTTTTTTGCTGAATTACATGTCTCTTCTTAATATAGTATTATGAACTTCGCTCCTTGCATATTTCGTCAAAATTGTTTTTTTAGTAGATACTTTTCTCTGTGCATCTGCACATTAGCAATCATCAATTTCAGTATGCAGCGAATTCTAACAAAGCTTATTTTCAATTCATCTAATTTGATTATTATTTAGATCGTTATTCATTTTTTTCTTCTTTTATCATTTCTGATAACCCATATTTTCTTCTCTTTCTATCTTGTTTTATCTTGTTTTCAATGGTATGTAAAAAATCTCATATCAGAATGAAAGTCTCCTTCCATAAGAATGTTTTATCTGTGTCCGCGTCAATAATGATTTTTTTTTCTTCTTTTTTCTCCTCTGACATTTGTGTCATTATATTAATTAGCCTTCCACAATAAACAAATATAAAAAGAGACAACAAACGATTTCCATAAGTAATTAGTATACTGATCAGTTTTTGTTTGTCTAATGGTTGTATGATAAAAACGAAAGATGTCTGACGACTTATTCAAGTAGAATTTCAACAATGAACCGATAATACGATTGATTCAAAAGAAGTTCAGCTTTCCTTGGCTACTGTAGATCATATATTGACACTTTTCATGATCGAAAAAAATAAATGACTGTGTTATTTAATTTCAAAGTTTCTTATGTCGTTGATCATTCGATCGTCAGCATAAAACATCATTTGAACATTTCTCCATCGAAGCACTAAAGAATGATTTTTTTGAAAACAGTATAACTCTTAGAATCAGGATGAAAACTTAAAAAGCGAATCTATTAGCATATATATATATATATACATCATATAGGTTACAAACAGTTCCATAATCTACGAATGAACTGTTTATCAAATATTATAATGATACAAAAATTGATCTACTATTCAATAACAGTAAATGTATTTATTGACTATGTACGAATAAGAGAATGAATTATTATTTGCAGCTTACAATTACTATTAATAAGAGTTTATTTTAGATACTTTGACACTTCAACTGTATTTTCATGATGTTTGGGTGTAACTTGTACATAGTTCACGTTGATTGTGTATGCATTAAACTAAAGACATGTTTTTAGATAAATTCCAATGAAATAAAAGCAGTAAAATGTTGGGTTGAGAAACCAATCAAAATTATTAGTGTGATTTAATAGACTAGTTAATGACTTCTAGTAAGAATTGTTTTCTCTTTTAGTATCGAGTTAGAGATACATTTTGTGAAAATTTTCTTTGATAACTTTCTATTGATGAATAATTTACAACAAAAATAGCTTTGGATTTTTCGCTACTACAAACAATTTCAACGTCAATTGAAGTTAACCCTTTCCAGACAACTTAGGCAAAATAACCAGTTTCCATTGAAAAATCTAGTTGATTGATATTACAACCTATTATTTCATCATACTATGATTGAACTGCTTGATTTCCTAAAACAAAAGAAAAACTTGCCATAACACCGAACTAGTCATTATAGAAAAAGAGTTTCTACGTGACCATCATTGAAATATTATAGTTATTAATACTTGAAAGATAATCAATATATAATCGTAAGCTGCTTTATTTAAATTCTTATCAAGTTGAACTGCTGGTGTATAGTTACAAGCTTTTAATATATTCTGTTATGATGCATCTTTTTGAGATTCAATTCCAGCCACGAGTAAAAGTATTGACTACAGAACAAGATCAATCATATTTATCTTTAATTAATTTATCAATATTTATTTGCAACGTCATATTTTCGCGATGAACTATTTCAAATTGAGAATTGCAGTACGGCGCTAACTGACTTTACGCAATATAAATGATGATATCTATTATATACTCTTGAAAATGAGTAGATGACCATTCTTATTATTCAATTTTAAATTATTATATATAATAAAATTATTATCTGATGGTATTTGAAATTTCATTGTTATAAAAATTCTTTGATAATATACTTATTAAGCATATAATTCGATTTACTTTATAATCTATAGATAATTCATAGTAAAATTTATTATATCAAAAATAAATTTTCTATTTGAATCTAATTACTATCAGTTTTCATCTGTACTATTGTAATTAATATTCTTAATGAAGCATACTTAAATTATAGAGAAATATTTTTTTTAAATAGATACTATTTAATAATTGAATGCAGATGTTCAAATCGTTCAAATGATATTTATTAATAAATGAAATTCTACAATACTTCTTAACGAGAAAAAACACTTGATTGATTATTGAGATAAAGAACTCGTAGTGTCATGCACCCAGTAGCAACACGATAAAGTTTAATTAAATACTAGAAGGTTCGTTTGGGTAGAAGTAATCTAATACTTAATAAGAAAATCTGAACAATTCATTTTTATCACGTGGTCGCGATTTCTTTCTCTTTCTTTCGCTCTCTCTTTTTCGATCAGACATTCACCTTTGTGAAATGCCCTATTCATATATGACGAATTACATCTTAAATTTTACATCTCTCTTATCGTCCACAATGTACATATATTCCTAAATGATTTAATACCTAGATCGTTCTTTACTTTTGAAGAAAATTAAAACCAACCAGAAAAATTCTCATGTAAATTTTCGACTATTTTCATACAAGCATTTCTTTTGGTTACACAAACGATCGGTCGGATCGTCATTTCTTTTTTCTTTTTTGTTCCACTATTTTTTTTTCTTTTATTTATTGTAAATAATTCATAAGTTGTCGGTCTGTAGGCGTCTGTATATTGTATGAGTGTTAAATATCAGTAAATATAATGAGTGAAATGAAATCTTCTATTAATTCTTGTTCATTATCATCATCATCACCTATTCGTGTACATTTTTCGGATGTTACTAATAAAAAACTTCAACTTAATAATATTATTGATGATGATCGTCGATGGAAATTACTTAGTAGTAAACAAAGAATCTTTCTTTGTTTTTTGTATTTGTTTTACATTTTTTTTTTTTTTATTTAAGGTGCACCAACTATAACAATTGATAATGATGAAAATGAAACTGATGCATGGACTGAATGTCGAGAATTATTTGAACCAAATCGATCTCATATGCTTAATCCATCATCAATTAATAATAATTATTTACTTCGTCATAGTAGTGCTAATACAAGTTTAAATGAATCATCATTAAATGGAAATGGTTGTACAAGTATTGATGGTAATCATGATGAAATATTTTCAATTATTGAACAAGCTGGAATAAATTTTGGTAAAATCAAAAA